ACAAAATTCATGTGATTAGATATCTTTCCAGATCCAGTCACAAGTATCGCATTTGGTGGCAGATTGCCCTGAGAATGGATCTTTAGAGAACAATTAACCAGCTACACTTGCTTTTGCCCTGAGAATGGATCTTTAGAGAGTGAAATTAACCTGTTACATTTGCTTTTGCTGAGTCACTGAGTTTCATTGTTACCCAGCTTTGGGAAATAACCTGAGTCTTTCTGTTCTCTCCGGAGATGCTCACAAGGTTCCTAGTGACAGGTCTCTCCAAAGATTTAGAATTGTTGCTGCTTGCTTCATGCTCCATAGCTAGGCACTCTGCTGGGCAGAATTGTATGGTAGGTTTTGCAGTTGCTAAAGGCTGAATCTGTATGTTGGGAACAAACATTTTCTTCCTCCTAATGTGTGGGGCAGTGGTTTCCACCTGACATACTAGGTTGGGAGAATTTCCAGGAGTTCAATGTCTGACCACAATGTCCAGCTTGTGGGACATGGATCTTCTCTGCCTCTGTGCAGGAGTTGTAGGGACTTGCATTCCCAATGATTTTCGCCAATTCTCTTAATCATTAAAACTTACAGAAAATAAACCACTAGAGCCGGAGAGCTGTGGTAAATTCTAATTTAGATAATATGTCATGCTTAGCAAAATCTGGCACACATTAAAAAATTCACAAATGTCAATGATTTAGTAAAATGATCACTAATAGAAAATTAAAGTCACTTGATAATGCGATAAAGATTAGATCCTTAGGAAAAGTAATGAGCAGGTAAATCTCACTTTAGAGCTGCTGGGTTTTTATTCATTTTCTCCAAATACTGCTACTGTTATTAGAAAATATAATGCCTTGTCCTGGGTTCATGTTGTAGTTGCATAAAAGCAGAGGAAGGCAGCTACTTTTCCATAAATGAGAATATTGGCTTTTCCCCAGAATTCAGATTCATAGCTATAGAAGCAATCCAAATATTTGAAAGCAGATAATACTTGTACTAGACAAAGTCAATTTAGCATTTCACATGTGCTCGCCAAGTGTTCACATACCCAATATATTCTCTCTCTCTTTTTTTCTCTCTTGCTGATTAAATAAATTATAGGACATGAGAAGTTTAGCTTTTAACCTTGCTCCACAGTCTGAAAGTCAGGCTTGGAAATATTTGTATTCTTGGTTTAATGTCCTCAAAAAACTTTACTTAAAAAGAAATCTTTCCCGAAGTCATGTGATTCCTTTATTTCGATTCCTCTCCCATCCATTAGCCAGAAACGCTTTCTTAGCATACGGGGTCCTCAAACATGTTTCTCATGAGGCTTATTGTGTCTTCCAGAATGCTCTGACCTGACGCTCCTTACTTCTCAGTCAGGCAGGTGCTTTCAAAGAGTTTCCCCTCACAAAAAGATTTCTTTATTGGAAATTACACTTAGAGAAGGGAAATGGAACCCAGAGTTTCTCTCACTGAAAGAAGCTCAGAAGCACTGCAGTGAAACTAAAACAACAACAAACACAAACCAGCGGCAGTACACTTGATCCTTTCTTTTAGATGAAAAATCCAAACACATCCGCTTCTCGCCCAGCATCTAGCATTTTTTTGTTCCCTTTCTTACTTACTAATCTCCTTCTGTTATGTCGTTGAAACTTATGTCACTGGGTTGGTTCCAGTGAACTTGCATGAATCTTCCCCTTCCATCCCAGCTTTCTCAGCATCGGGGTACAACGTCGTTTCAGCAATAAATAAGAGTGCAGCAGAGGTTAATCGGTCTGAGACTGGGTGAGAAATATACTAACTGCCCTTTTCTCCCAGGCACCAGTGAGTCTTTGTTCTGGTTAAACGACTCCACATCTCCTAGCTGAGCACAGCAGCACCAGAGAGAGGTGTTACCAGACCTGCCCAAGTCCCAAGCGCGTGAGTCCTGGCTGGGAGCCTCTTGAGTCTCCAAGAAGCCACAGGATCAGCAAGCTCACAGTCACTCTGTATTGACACAACTGTCACGTCTCCCCTTGCCCTCAAAGCGTCTATCTATACCTACTCCAATGGCCCTCTGTCTTCTCTCAGGAATAATTGTGGCTTTGTATTTACTCCAAATGCTCCTTCTCTGGATCTCTTGATCAAACGGTGTTTTAGAAGATCCCCTTTGCTCTTTCTTATTTCTTATATATATATTAGTGCCTCGTGTGACAGTTGAACCAAAAGAAGCAAAGAAACAAGTGTGCGCTTGAAATCACCAAGTTAAATTATGATCAGTCATGTAGAAATGATAACTGCCAGTTACAGATAATCGTCTATAAGAGGCATTTCACTGTTCTAGTCAGATTTATAGTTTTTTCCCTAGAATATGACTTACTGTGGAAGCACTGCATATGGAAATAGCCAATCGGGGGGAAAGAAGCTCTTTTTTCATCTTAACTTATATTTATAGATTCCTATTTTATACCACTTTACTTATCCTTTTATTTTGACCTTCTATGTGGCTCTGGGGCTTTGTTCAGCAAATTGGTGTTCTACCTACTGGCTGAAACTTCTGGATATGCAAGATATCTAAGGCACTTTTCAACTAAGATGTGGGGGCAATGGAAATATGATGAAGTTGTTGGCATTTAGATCAGTGATTCAGGGACCATGTTCTAGCCTGGTGTGCAATTAAGACTAATTCCACACATTATTAGATCAGCATTTTCAATATATATATATATGTATATGTGTATATATATATATATCCTGTGAAAATCCTGTGATAGGAAGAGAAATGGCTAAAAATGTAAATGATATAAAAGGCTTGATTTATGATTGCATATTTTATGGGGACTACACCTGAGAAAAGAAAGCAAACATTGTCAAAGAATGAACAATGATGTAATATACACACACACACACACACACACACACACATATAAATGAATTATTAAAAAATCAAGAGGAGACAAAATAGAATGATTTGTTTTATTTCTTGGTTCTTTGTATGACTTGCCTCAAGCTCAATGTTTATCGCCTTTCTCCTAGTTGAAATAATTCACTATGTTTCTACCGAATGCTTGAAGGACTGACCCTGAGAGAACGCCTCCACCTTGGTATGACGGCTGCAGCCGTCCTGCTTTGTAAATATGGTTGCTCTAATCTGCTCTATGCCTGTGTCTGCACAGTCTCTCAGCGTTTATCCTTGACCTGGCCTGGCCACCCCTCTTCATATCAGTAAGGACCCAGCACCCAGACTCAGACGCTAATTCCATTCCTTTGCTTTGGAAGAAAAGGGCTGAGGAAGAAGTGTTTCGTTTAAAGAGATTTAAAGGCATGCATTTTGTTTAAATGTTATTAAACTTATAATTTGAGAGTAAAGTTTTGCCTAGTGAAGAGGCCTAGGGAATAAACTTTAGATGACCTCGCTCAAGGAAGAATGAGCATGGAAAACAATGAATAATCAAAGCATTGCTCACATTTGTCTTTGAAAAGTAACAGCATCTCTCAGTCCATATAAATGTACTCAGTATGACATTCAGTTATAATGACATGCTCAACATTGCTTTTAGAGTTTAGTGGTGAGAGGGAAAGGGTGCTCAATTTGGTTCAGTTATTATATTTACTGACAAACTTTCACAGGAGATCAAAACTATCACTAACCTACTAAATAGAATTTAGTTAGGAAATGATTTTTATTTATTTGAGTAAACAACTTATTTACACTTCCTTATCTTACTTAATTAGGCACATGTCTTGGGACACGGACTTCCCAGGAAATCAGGCAGGGGTGGGCAAGGAGTTGATTGTTGTTTATCAATGGATGATTGGAGTATGATCAAAGAATCCACTGAGAAGACTTATTTTGACATAAGGTGACATATTCAAATTGCTTCTGTACGTGCTGCAGTATGTTTCTCCTGTTGAGTTACAGTCCCAGTTTCCAAGCATGTAGTTCACTAAAGAAACTCTACACAGGGATTCAGAAGAGTTGAACACCGGTATTTGAGGATCACTCAGAATAAGACCAATCCTTTACCAGAGTCCCCTCTGGTTTTTCCATAGAATGATGGAACCAATTATGCAATGCTAATTTTAATCAATAAACAACAGGGGGAAAGTTACTCAATGGTCTCCAAAATTTGATATCAAACATAGTCAAATTACAAGAAATAGATTTTATTTTCACTAAATTCCTGCCTCAAAAATAAAAGGAATAAAGAAACAAAAAAGAAAGAGGTTTTTAGAAATCGATACCAATTTTAGGATTGAATAAAATCAAACTAAAAATGGACATAGTCTTACATGTTTTAATTTAGTAATATGCGAGTTCCTAGAACTCATCTTGCTTGTGGGTTAGAACACACATTTTCTCAACTCACTAGACAATGTCAGAATAAAACAGTTACACATTTTAATACTGTAATATGTGAGTTCCTAGAACTCGTCTTGCTTGTGGGTGAGAACACACATTTTCAACTCACTAGACAATGTCAGAATAAATCAGTGACACGAGAGTCACTGACCGCCACATTTTACAATCTCACTCTCCCTTTTCTCTTTTTCTCCTTCAACGGCACCAGTGACCCTTGATATTTTACATGGCTTTAGTCCACCTTGACCATAAGCTTTAAAAATCAAAACCATGCCCAAGTTCACTGTGGTCCCTACTCCTGTGGGGAGCATATCAACCTGATGCCCACGCTGCGCCTTAACAAACCATGTGACTGCTGCTATGGGTCACGATTAGCAAGGAGGCACCAAGAGCCATAACCGTATGACAATCAACAGGTACTGATATTATTTTAAAAACTGCATCAGGGCCAAATTTGAAGGGCTCCCTTCACACACATGGCTGACTCAGTAGGTGAACAAACCCTGTGGCCCGAAATACACACCAAAGATTCAATTATCCAGGGTGAGTCAGCGGGGACACTCACAACGCTTTCTATTCTGACGGCGACAGAGCACACAATGCCAAGTACTCTCGGTGCCTCCGAGCGCAGAAATCAGAAAGCACGTCCGTGCCAGCTTAGCGGAGCCGGCGAGCTGCATACCTGCAAGGAGACGATGGACGCCGCCTCCCCGGCCCCTTCTCTTCTGCTTTCCCTGGGGTATTTAACCCACAGCAGGGACCTCTCACTGCCGGGTTCAGCTCAGTTCACCTGCAGCAGTCGCGCACGCGAGACCCTCTGAGCGAGCCCAGGGCGCGCGGGCTGGCGGGGTCTCAGGCTGCGGTGCCCGCGGATGTGAGCGAGGCTGAGGCCGCGCTGGCTCCTCTCGCGGATGCGCGGGGATGTTAGCACCCGCCGGGCTTTCTATTGGTCGGAAACTCCAAACGATCACACCGGCCACCCCTTCTGTTTCGACTCAGCGCTCGTTTCTCGTCTAACCCACAAGTATTGCAGCCACACACACTTCAGTCGTTTGCAATATTTCTCCTTTCCTCCTTGCAGGGTGTGATTTACAACCTTGTGGTCAGCTGTAAACATTTTTTTTTTTTTAAAGCAGAATTCCAATCCAAACCTTCTTGTTTATGTGGAGAAATTCTCCATTTCCTCAAACCGCAAAAACCACTCATTCTCTTCAGATCTTCTCCCCCTTTTGTTGACGGGGTTGCAATGTGAAGAATGTACAAACTCTGTGTGATACATCCGCATTCTCTCTCCTCTCTCTGTCTCTTTCCGTCTCTCTCACACACAGACACACACGACTCCTTTTGTTTTGAATAATTGGGACCAGTGACATTCAAAGCAAGCTGAGCCTAATTACCTAAGTGAGAGCTCAACTAATAAAATCTTGAATGAATTCAGTGGAAAACATTTATTGTTTTCTGTTCCAAACAGCGCTTTGGTCATTATTATCCCTATTTTTGTTTATTGAATGCAGGGTTTCTAATGCAAATCAGACGCTTCAGCATCTAGAGAACATGGATTAATGACGCCAGACCAACTCTGCAGCATGAGCTTTTGTGTTAGATCAGCAGGTCCCAGCGATGTCTGCGTAGATTTCCTTTCTATTATCTTTACTCACTAACAGCCTCAAGATGAGGACGCTCTTAGGTATGATTCACTAGCCACGGAAGACTGGTCAGACTGCTGATAAATTGTTCTGGATTAAATTTTTTAGTCTGTGTTTATCGCTGGAGATAAACCTTTGGTCTTTCAGCAGTAAAAGAGTCCAAGAAAAATCTGAGATCTTACAATCTTGGCTGGGAATATTAAGACTAAATTAAAATTTCACAAAACAGACCCTCCCTTTGCTTAACCTTAATTTTAATGACAGTTTTTTTTTACAAGAAGTTATTGTTTCTGAAATCACTGAGATTTATTATTTTCACATTTTCTCCATTGTTTTTCTTTGGATTATTGTTTGGTATTTGATATTCTCATTCCAGACCAATGTCCTGAAAAATCACAGGAAACAATAGTTTTCTCTTGAAGTTTTTGATGAACAAGCATAGCATACTATCTGCTTAATTTTTTAAGTTGGGCACAGTTTAGTGATACTGAAATGCAACTTTTTTTTTCTTCAGAATGACATATCTGATATAAGCTTTAAGTTTCAAAAGACAAACAAAATCGTGTTTGGCTATTGGTTTCTGTAAACAACAATTCACTTCAAATTGCTTTACCTTACTACTTTACCAGTCCTTCTCCTTTCTTTAGGTAGACATTAAAAAGATAACATCATAAATCTTTGAATGTGCATTTCCACAAAAGGCTCATCAGTTTTAGAAAAAAAGGAATCCTCCAGATTTTCCAGATGGGGAAATAGAGCCAGAGAATGGTTAAGCAACTAGCCTTATATTATAAAGGTAAACAGCAAACAGATCTGGGCAATTGGATAGATGTTTCCCTTCTTGTCTTTTTGAGATTACCTTTGTATCCCAATTATTCAACTCATAGGAGAGAGAAGTGTTAATTCAACTAAAAGGAAAGTGAAGTGTTGTAGACAGATTACTGCATGTCTTTGCACATAAGAACTAACAATTCATGAAAACCTTTGATCAAATTGATAGTCACTTTGTATGTTCCAGAATGGATATATTGAGATAGCTTACATTTTCTTAGAATTGCCTTTCTAGAGGAAAATTTCGAGTTATGGGAAAAATATTCTACCATAGTAAAACAAGCTTTTTCCCCCACTCATTCAACCATATAGGACCACCCCCTAGTTTTATGTGACACTTCTTGCAAGAACTATTCATGAGTTGGAGTATATCCAGAGGGCTTGATAAGATAGTGATTCTGGGTATTAGAATTTATAAGAGATGTTGGAGAGAATTCAGCAGTTTGTCTTGGAGAAGTTTTGGGGGTGAATATAATACAATTTGCAGATAATGTGAAAGATGAAATATGTTTACTATCTATATATGCAGTTGTCATTTTAAAAAATACTGTGTTAACAAATCTTTAAATGACTATATAGGATATAGGCTAATTATGATTAGCTTAATTTTCTATATAAAGTCTATAGTAAATTAATATGATTTAGTTATGGTGATAGTGCTAAAGAATGGGACAAACTTGAAATAAATTCCAAGTCCAGGACTCTTCTGGGGAGAAGTTAAAGGAGGAGGACAAAATTAAGGGTAGGGAGTTACGATGGCTTTGGGATTATTTGAAGTCTAGAGATGGAATGCTTCCATTCTCCTTTTTTTAGTCAGGGGAATTTTTTTAGTCAGGAGAATTTTGGCTATTCAAGGGTTTTTTTGTGGCTCCATCTGAATTTCATTAATATTTGTTCTATTTCTTTGAAGAACAAATCTGTAGCTCGCCTTCGGTCGATGGCCATTTTCATCATGTTAATCCTTCTAATCCATGAGCAGGGGATTTCCTCCTATTTCTTGTGTGTTATTCAAGTTCTTTTAAGAATGTTTTCTAATTTTCTTTATATAGGTCACTCACCTCCTTAGTTAAGTTTAGTCCCAGGTATTTGCTATTTTTGTTTTGATTGTAAATGGGACGGTTTTCTTAATTTCTTCTTCTACAGATTGCTTGTATGTAGGAAGGCTACTGACTTTTGTGTGTTGATTTTTGTCTCCTGCTACTTTACTAAACTGGTTCATTATTTTAATTAGTTTTTCTATGGAGTTTTTAGGATTCTCTCTGTATATTATCATGTTGTCTGCAAATAGCGATAGTTTTACTTCTTCTTCCCTAATTGAATGCCTTGTCTTTCTCTTGTCTCATTGTTCTGGCAAGGACTTCCAGTCTCATATTGAAGAGCAGTGGTGAGAGTGGACATCCATGTCTCGTTCCTGATCTTAAAGGCAAGGCTATCAGCTTTTCACCATTGAGAATAATATTGGCTGTGGGTTGTCATCTGTGGCTTTTATCATTTTAAGGTATATTCCTTCTATCCCGAGAATTTGAGGGCCTTCCTCATAAATGGTTGTTGACTTTGTCAAATGCTTTTCAGCATCTATTAATACGATCATATGGTGTTTACTTTTCTTTTTGTTGATGTGTTGGATTCTCTTAATTGATTTTTGGATGCCGACCCATCCTTGTGCCCCTGGGATACATCCCAGTTGGTCGTGGTGTATTTTCCTTTTGATGCACTGTTGGACTGTTGGCAAGGATTTTATTGAGGGTTTTTACATCAGTGCATCAGGGAGATCCGCCTGTAGTTTTCTTTCTTTGTGTGTTGTTTTTGTATGAGTGTAATGTCGCTTCATAGAACATATTTGATAGTGTTCCTTCTTTCTCAGTTTTTGAAAAAAGATTGGGTAGGGGGCCCTCTCTGGGGGCGCAGCAGGTTGGCAGCACACTAAGCCAAGAGTGGCCGCTTCAGTGAGAGTTTGATCCCTGCCCCGGAGGTGACCACATGGGTGGCAGACCTCTCCTGACCCACCCGCTGCTCCCCTCAGCAGTGTACTTTGTTGATCTGCCTGTTCTGCTCCCCAGTCTGTCTCTGGTGAATCCTCTCACCCTCCACATCTCTGGCCTGTACCCCAGTTCTGTATGAATTAATAAATAAATCTTTTTAAAAAATGGGTATGATAGGCACTAGTTCATTTCTGGACATTTGGTAGAATTCATTGGTCAAGCTGTCTGGTCCTGGGCTTCTGTTTTTGGGGAGTTTTGGATTACTGTTTTGATTTCACGGCTTATAATTGGTCTGTTTAGGTGTTCTAGTTCTACTTTATCTAGTTTATATTGCTCTGGGAACTAGTCCATCACTTCCAGATTGTTGAACTTGTTTGCATATAGTAATCTCTGATTATTCTTTTGATTTCAGCTTTTCACTATTGAGAATAACATAAGCTGTGGGTTTGTTATATATGGCTGTTATAATTTTTCCTCTTTCATTTATGATCCTAATTATCTATGTTTTCCCACAGTTTTTCTTCATGAGTCTGGCTAGAGGTTTGTCTAATTTTTTCCCCAAAGAGCTAACTTTTGATTTTGTTGATCTTTTGGATTTTTTAAAAATTTCTATTTTGTTTGTTTCCAATTTAATTTTTATTATTCCTTTTTTTCTACTGGTTTTGGGTTTCTTTGGTTGTTGTTCTTTTTGTAGTTCTTTGAAATGGGAGATTACGTTGTCTTTTTTGCATTCTTTCTTGTTTTTTTATGTGAGCTTGCATTACTATAGACTATTCTCTTATTACTGCTTTTGCAGTGTGTCCAGAATATCCCATACATTCTGGAAAGTTGTACCCTCATTATTGTTTGACTCAAAGTATTTTTTAATTTCTTCTTTGTTCTCCTCTTTAATCCTATGGCTTTTCAGTAGTGTGGCTTCAATCTCCATGAAATGGGAGGGTTCCTAGCTTTCTTTTCATGGTACATTTCTAGTTTGATGCCTTGATAATCAGAGAAGATAGTTGGTATGATTTTGATCATAATGTATCTGTTGATGTTTGTTTTGTGACCCAATATGTGATTGATTTTGGAGAATAATCCATATACACTTGAGAAAAATGATTTTTTTTCTGAAGAAAAATGAGATTTTGGGGGAGGGGGTGCAGTTGTCCTATAAATGTCTGTCAAGCCCATGAGGTCTAGGTCTTTATTTGGGGCTCTAGGGTCCTTGTTTATTTTTTGCCTCACTGATTTGTCCATTGGTGAGAGTGGGGTGTCAAAGTCTCCTACTCCATATATATTTTCTCTAACATCTGTTTTCAGAGCTGACAATAATTAGCATATATGTT